GGAGAAGAGTTCCATACTTATGTTGTCAAACTGGGTTCGAGTCTGATATCTTGGTTGCAACTGCTGTAATGGATATGTATGCAAAGTGTGGGAATATAGGTTTGTCGCGAAGATTGTTTGATGCAACCGAAGAAAAGATGTAGTTTGTTGGAGCGCGATGATTGCTTGTTATGGAATCCATGGCCATGGGCAGAAGGCGATTAATCTTTTTAACGAAATGATTAAAGAAGGCTTGAGGCCTAACCATGTAACATTCACTTGTGTTCTCTCAGCTTGTAGCCATTCGGGGTTACTTGAAGAAGGGAAGAAGTATTTTCAATTGATGAGAAGAGAGTTGCGGATTGCACCAAAACTAAGTAATTATGCATGTATGGTGGATCTTCTTGGTCGTGCAGGAGAACTTTCTGAAGCAGAAGAGCTCATAGAATCTATGCCAGTGAGACCTGATACAAGTATATGGGGGTCTTTGCTCGGAGCATGCCGAGTTCATAGTAATCTAGATTTAGCTGAAAGAATTGCAGATCATATTTTTCAGCTGGACCCCTTTCATGCTGGCTATCATGTCCTACTCTCCAACATTTATGCTGCCAAATCTAGGTGGAATGATGTCGAGAAGGTTAGGATGATGATGACTAGAAGAGGTGCCAATAAAGTTCAGGGAATCAGTTTGATAGAGCTAAACAATCTGGTTCACAAATTCGGAGTTGGCGATAGATCACATCCTCAATCAGAGAAGATTTATGCTCTCCTTGAGGAGTTGGCGGGTCCAATGAAACGCCTGGGTTATGTCCCCTTGACAGATTTTGTTCTTCATGACATTGAAGATGAGGCAAAAGAAGTGGCACTTTCCTACCATAGTGAGAGGCTGGCAATTGCATTTGGTCTCATCAATACTAGTCCAGGGACTACTCTTCGAATTACAAAGAATCTAAGGATCTGTGGAGACTGTCATAATGCGATTAAGTTCATCTCAAGGATTGTGAATCGAGTCATCATTGTCAGGGACATGCACCGGTTTCACCATTTTGAAAATGGAGTTTGTTCTTGTGGTGACTACTGGTAAGAGATTATGTGCTTTTTGACAGTTGAAGAGACAAAGATGGTTGTTCATGTAGCTTTGGGTTTCATCCCTGCTCCTCGGCGGCCTTGGGAACAATAAATCCTTATGCAAGAAAAGAAAATTAAAGCCACAACCTAATGGGAATTCTGATCAAGATACAGAAGCATCTTGAGTAAAGATTTTATGGCCGCCGGATAGTGGCAAAGCAAAAGCAGAGAAGTAATAACCATGAGTGGATAATTACTGGAATTCATGATTTTTTTTTTTGCCAAACTTCCTGCTAAATTTGCAAAGTTAAGCAGCCTGCTACTTAGACCTGCTGCCATATCATTCCATCAATTTTTTTGTCTGGCACTGTTAGTTCTCTCCTTCAACCGATCTAGTTGATTGAGAAGGCAATGGCGTTGCTTGTGAACGTTGTTTCTTCATCAGAGGTTGTGCTTAAGGAGACTGCTGGTGCGGGTGGTGCAATTCAATTAATAGTAGAGGCCGTGGAGGAAGGTCTGCCACAAAGCAAAGAGCACGCAGTGCGAGTTCTACTTCTGATATGCTGAAACGCAGACATAAACAAAACAAAAGGGGGAGGGATTTTGAGGAACTAGCCACACCAGGGCTGATTCAGTTGAGCGTTGAAGGGACGGGTAAGTCAAAGCAGAAGGCCAAAGCTCTGCTGCTGCTTCTAAGGGATTGCTCAGGTAAGGCGAAGGAGAAGCCCTCTCAAAATTGCCTGGTAATATGAAATCTTTATGCATGATTTTCAAACAACTTTTAATTACCAATACGTGGTCATTATGTTAAGTAGCCGGCTGAATAATACCTATAACGCCTTTCCAGCAAATGTTTAGACAACATGTAACATCATCCTCACATTCTAAGATGTATGTAAGCCTATCATTCTCCTTCAGACAAAGTGCTTAGTTCAAAGGATTATTTATCGATGTTATTATAACCCTCCACAAAAACCAAGGGAATATAACACCCAAAAGCAAACAGAATGCAGTGGACTACGGACTACATTTCACTTGGACCTTCTATAAAAGCTATAAGCCACCGCAACAGTAGCCACGGCTCCAACCACAGCAGCAGCTGTAAGAACTTCACGTTGCTCCCATTTTCCTACCCAGGTCGTGAGTCTTACCGGCCCATTCTTTCCCTGTTTTTCTTCCAAACTTTCATCTCTGCAACATGAGAATCCAGTACCACCTTGGCAACAGTTTGCCACACTTTCCCTTTTCTCCTCACTGCCATTTTCTTGAGGTGTCTCGCTATGCTCCAGAGCTTCTCCATTTGGAAGCTTATGTTCATCCAACTTGTCAGCTTCCTCAGCACGTCCACCCATTTGGCCCCTGCAATTGCAAACCACATGTTCTTATTACATTGCAACAATGCCAAAGAAGTGGAAGGAACATTTCTATTTTCTAGAAATCAGACAGGAAAGATACATGTTGTGCTTCTATTTGAACCCAAGATGATGAGTAATTAACATGCCATCATGAGGGTGATCCATCATGCAACGAGAAACTCTCCAAGAAACATGTGGAATTGCATGTTACAGGAGAATAAATGAAAGAAATCACCATTTCACTGATTATGATACAAACATTTAAAGGAGAGGCACATGCTAGTTACTGGCTGGATGACTTTCAAATGAAAGCAGACTAAATAATGCAGGGCAATGTTTAGAACCTTTTTAAATAAAAAACAAACAAAAGAAAAAGAGAAGAAATAGCAACTTATGCCCAAGCTGGCTTCATAAAGAATCCAAGTGAAGGATAATTCAACAAGTTTCAGATGCAGAAGGATGGGAATGGCATGGTAACCCACTTCAAAGGTCCCCACTTTGGTATTTCACATTGATACATCTCACAGTACAATTAACAGTTTGTTACTCCAACAATCCACAATCACAACATGCATGGGTTGTTGCAGATTTCAAATGATGCTTGTAGGCCTAGCAGATAAAACAAAGGGACTTCTAAGTCCCAAGTGAAACAATTCCAATTTCAACTGAACGACACCATATTACAATATATAATTTCCGTTCCAATGCAAGTTGCAACCCTAAATTTTGATTGCACAACTTGATAGCTAGCCCTTATTTATTTGGTTAGAATATCTGCAAAAAATGCGTGTCCACTCAAATGGCAAGCCACAACAATTTTTATTTATTGTATAATCTAATTCATTTAATGCTAACCTATTCAAGTATCACAAGAGCTTTCAACAACTAGTTTCACTAAAAAGAGTCAGAATAGCATGAAATTACAAACCTCCAAAGTCGTTCAATGACCTCTCCCTTCCCAATATGCTGATCAAGCAAATCTGGTACATCATCCGGGGTGACATAACCATACCTGCATCTCAAAAACAAAAAACCACCAACAACTGTCAACACCATCCAAATGACCACATAAAATCTTATTCTTTCTTCAGAATCCCAAGAAACAAAGCCCGGAATCATAATTACCAATGCCCAGAAATTTTCCCTTCTGAGTCTGCACTGAAAATTATCACATTCCCTGCATACTTGTGACCCCCAACATGAGAGCAAGCAGTCACAAACACCTCATCCTCCAGTCCCTTTAATTCCATCTCCTCTTTAAACTTCTCAATTAGAACAGGTCCACAAACACCACATCGTCGGTCTCGCTTATTGTGAGCACACACAAAAACATGTGAACCAATCAACACCTCCTGCACTCCAGAAGCCCACGGTTTGCCATTCACAAGCACATCATCAACAAATCCATCCACATCGGACTCCTTCAGACCCCTTAAATCAGGAAGAAAATAATTGCTTAATCTTAGAAAGGAGAATGTAGGACTGAAATACTTGTAGTAAGGAAATTAGAGATCCGGTAAAAACAAGTTTCAGTAAGTAAAACCCTGAATCATGATGAAATTCAATTGTACAGTATTTGACAATTTTTGTTACAACCAACGCTATCTCATAGTCATCAAAGAAACTTTTAAGGAATTTTAATCTTAAAATCATCAGTGTCCATCACTTCATGATTGATACATATTACGAAAATCAGTGGATCTCAAAATCAATAGAGAAATCAGAACGAAACCATAGCTAAATAATAAAATTCACTTGGACCTCAACAATTATATTGAAATCAGCATAATCGTGACCACTCATAATTGTAAACACTTAATAGACTAGAACGAAAAAGCCAAACAAATCTACGTAATTTACCTGTATTTGATCATTTCAGGGAAAATCAATACATCTCCATCCGATAATCCGCTCCCATCACGTCCCTCACATATCGTCAAACGAGTCTATCAAATTAAATCACCGAGCAAAAACTCATCAGATCCAAAAGGACCAAAACAACTGGAAAATCATCAAATAACCCCCTCTCTGTGTACATCTATATAATATTACAACTAGACAGTTGAATTCTCAATTTACAAAAACACAATATTAATAACGGTCTTGATTCAATTTCCATCTACTTCTATATAATATAAATATATTATATTGAGTTTATGCATAGAAAAACTTGATGTAGGCAAGTCTGTGCTCGAGATAAGACGATTTCATACTAATACTAGTCTCTCTCTCTTGTACACGCACACAACTTGAATGATTTAAACATGTAGAAGCATTTCAGAATCAGAACTTCCATTTACGATAACGAGACTAACCTTGACGTTGATGTCGTTCTTGCGAGATTTAAGAGCATCAGAGAGAAGCTTGGGAAGGAGATCGGTATCAGAGTTTTCGACACGAGGAGGCCAAGAATCGTAAGACTTGTAGGAGAGGAACACGTGGCGGTCGTAGGGATCAACAGTGCCGGCGAGGTTGCTACTGTACATTTCGGATCTCTGGAACCCGAACTTGACTTCATCGGCGACGACATCAGAGGTGGCGTCGGATGAGAAGTTCTCTGAGGCCATGGTTGAAGCTAGGGTTCGGAGAGAGGATTGAGAGAGAGGTTTTAGAGAGAAGAAGGTGAAGGTGGAGAGATAACGTTGGGCTACAGAGAATAGAGAACGGCTTGGGTGCGGAATGCGCATCTGCTTGTTCGTGTGGGGGTACTTAAGGGAATGGGTATACGATTGGGAAAGGCAGGCTGAGACTGGCCTTGGCTTGGGCAGAAAGTTCATGCGGCTTGATGGCGCATGAAGACACGTGGAGTTCATTAGAGGAAGATACGACTTACGCGTGTGGTACTCTCTCGTTGGCGTAGTAAGATAAAAGGTGCTCTTTGGTAAGTATCACTATTTTTGGATTGAATTAGATTAAATAGACTAATTTAAACTCATTTAATTAAATTTAAGTGTGAAATAAATATTTGAAATTTTCGTAAAAAAAGCCAGAATTAAAAAAAAAAATATTCAAACCGTTTGAAGTGTTATTGAAAAATCTGATTTTTCCTTATTGTTGCACAAAGAAGGTCTTAGATAAGCTCGATTTATCAACTTTTCCTTGGTCTTAGTATAGAAATTGTTCTGATCCAATAAATTGATGGAAAAATCATTCAATAAGCTCGAGTCCAAACATAGGAGATATTTTTTCCCTCTAAATTCAATAAAAACTCTAAAAATTGTTGAATTAAAATAAAAAAAATTCAAGTTCTATGCTGTGATATAAAAAATTCAAGTTCCCTCTAAATTCAAGTTTTAACAATTTTAATTCAATGTAAGAACATTTGTATCTAATAGCATAAATTGCAATAATTTTATTTAAGGAAAATGTTATGTCTACTTAAAAATTTGATATAATTTATTGATTTGATGAACCGCAACCATTAAATATGTAGTAGGTCTTAATAAATATTGAGACTCACTGCTAAATCAATGACGATAATTAATTAATTAATTTTTTAAATCTGTATAACATTGTTCTTTATTTAAAATTAAATAAATGCAATAAAATCCAGTAGTCATATTGGACTGAGAATAACTTAATTTCTTTTATCCACTTATTTACAAATTAACTAAACATGGGCTAAGTGAGACGTTGGACTATACTTGTTCTAATCCCACTCCCACCCATTAGTCTGCCATTTTCCGTGACCCCAATCAAAGTGTGGTCTCTTTGAAACGGGTCCTGTTGTGATCAACGGCTGAGATCAGACTGAAAGCGTACATCAATTTATTGCATTACGATTCATAGTCGTAGCCGATTATATTATTTTCCGCTGGCATTGCGCCATGGCTCTCGGATCACTTTTCGTGTACGCTACAATGAAGTATTTGATTATCTCTAAATTGAATCGTAGTACAAGTACGTTTGTCTAAATTTATTTAAGGAGAATTATATTCAAACTCTTTTAAGTTTATTACTTAATTACTCAAATTTTTAATATTTGAAATATTATATACAAAACTCTTAAGATTTGTACATGTCATCGAATGCCTGTTAATATATTCGTTAATAAATTATACCTAGACATCCTTAGATTTGAAGTGTATAATACTTAGATCTCTCAAATTTAAAATATTATATTTAGACAAAATAAATACTCTAATCAAATATAGAATATCAAATATTTTAAATTTTAAATTTTAAAACTAAAATTCATGTTCTATTATATCATTTATTAAAATAAAATCAAAAATTAAAAGCCATTTTTTTCTTAAAAAATTATAATTAATATACAATTATACTATCTGTTGAAATAAAATTAAAATCAAACAAGGGGTCTAAGTTATTCATAATAAAACATGAATTTTATAACCAAAATTCATGTTCTATTATGTCATTTATTGAAATAAAATCAAAAATAAAAATATAATTTTTCTTCAAAAAATCTTAATTAGTATACAATTATATTATCTATTTATAATAAAATTAAAAAATTAAACAAGGGGTTAAACTGTAATAGACATAATATATTCTAACTTTAATTGAGGTAATTTGGTAGTTTAATTGTATATTAATTATAATTTTTTTAAAAAAAATTAGATTTTTATTTTTAATTTATTTCAATAAATGTCATAATAGAACATTAATTTTGATTATAAAATTTAAAATATTTGATATTCTATCTTTGATTAGAGTATTTTTTTTTAATCTAAATTTAATATTTTAAATTTAATGTGTCTAAGTATTACACGCTTACAAACTTCAGGGAGTCTAAATGTAATTTAGTAACGGACATTCACAACAAATGTCTAATACGCATACAAACTTCAAGAGATTTGTACATAATATTTTAAATGTCACAAAATTTGAGTGATTAAGTGAGAAATACCCAAAAAAAAAAAAAATTGAGTGCAATTCTCCATTAATTTACGAAAGAGAGATGTGATGCACACCTAATGATGCGAGCTATTATATTAGTGATCCTTATTATCATCCAATGACTTAAATTAATGGACATTCTGGACAAGTCTATTTCGACACGTGACAATATTTATTATTTTTGTGAATATTTTTATTATTATTGTGTATATTTTTATCATTATTGTTGTAATTGTTATTGATAGTAAACACCGCAATAGTAATAAAAATACATATAAAATTTATATTTTTACTACTGTTGTGATAACTATTGATCACAAATACCACAAAAATGATAAAAAAAAAAATTATTATTATAATAGTGATAAAAATACTCATAAAAATAATAATTTTTGTTTTTGTAAAATGACTCACGAAAGTTATAAAACACACCCATTAAAATAAAAAAATTTGTTAGTACGGTACCAAAATCAAATCCTACATTTTTGGTATCACATAGCATTTGCCAAGTATTAATACAATGGGCCTATTTGAGGGCCCTTATAAGTCTCAACTCATTGTCTTAATTGAAATATACACACTAACTATAACTCCGAAAAAATTAGCATTAAAATTTGGGTATAACATTAAAATTATTAAAAAAATAAGATTAAGATTATAACTCAATCAGATGATAGAATAAAATTATTTGAGATAGATCCTAATATTTATGGATCAACTCAAAAAAATTTTGTTGTAATTTGACCTAAATAATATAATAAACAATAATTCAACACAAATAATTTATAATTAGTCTTTATTAAATTATACTCCTAATTGGACCCTTCCCGACCCGTTATACCTTCACTGTCCGTCCTTTCGAAGATAGATAGTGATGGGATTGATGCTGTGCCTCGTGGACCGCATGTTTGGTGACTAGAAAACTCGGAGAAAGTCTACGGTACCGTCTTTAATATTATACCGTTATTTATTATTTTTATGATAAAATTATAACTTCAAAAAAAAAATTATAATTATTTAAAAAAAATTCATAATCAATTAAGGAGATCATGATCGATCACAAAAACATATAATCAATTATGAGCTTTTCCTGAACATTTTTAACTTCTCCCTTATGAATTATAATTTAACTTTTAAAAATTATAACTTCGCTATCGATTCAAATTTATCATGATCGATCGTGACGTTTAAAAGTTATAATTTACACTTTAAATAAATTATAATTTAACTATAAAAAATTATAAATTTTACACAATACCAAAAACGGTACCTTAGCCTTTCCCGAAAACTTATAGCCATTCAATTTGTTTCCTGCCTCTGAAGCCATTAGTCAACAAGCAGGAGACAGGAGTGGGGGTGTTGGCATTATAACATAAACAAGTTATACGTCATGAGTTCAAATCTTAACATTTTTTTAAGGTCACACCATTTCTTTAAGGTCAGACCATTAAAAATTTATCTTTCATAAATATTTTAATCTCAACGTGAATAACCTATATTTGATTGAACCGAATAAGATAGTAGTTAAAGTACACCTAAACTGACCTAAACTAACACACTCCACCCAGACACCTTAATTATTGAACCAAAATAAAAAAATAAAAAATAAAAAGTCACCAAGAACCCCATCATAGACTACTAAAAAAGAATCGGACATGAGTTGGACAAATAGAGATTAGATGATTGAATGCCTCAATCCGACATTTGGCATTGTTCAGAAATTAGTAGAGAGGCTCAACAAGATTATTTTTTTTTGGGAGAGGGGAGGGGGGAGCTTCTCAAACACTTGGTGTAAACAATAGACCGGGTTGGATTCACCATGAGTGACCAGATCTCTCTATTTAGACACAAGTGGGCATGACAGAATAGAGAGGTCTAAAAGCTTCTCAAAACTATTCTATTGACCTTTTAAAAAGGAGTGAGATCCTCATCGGTACACTTTCTTTTTAATTCCCTTGGCACATCATACACCATGTATTCAAGTGGGACCATTATATATAAGTGGGTCTCTCCACCATGGGTGATGTGCCGAGACATGAACTTCCTACTACTGCTTTGAACCATGTTCCAACATAAATCAATGAAAATGTAGAGTACTTGCAGAAGAAAGAAATTTACAGCAGGAAACTTAGTTCGTCATAGATGTGGCTAATTGTTAGACTGGGAAATTTATACTTTTTAAGTTGGATAGGTGGTGATGGAAGACCAAAAATAAACAAGAAAAATGCCCATCAATCCCATTCCTTGTTCATGTCCACTTGAGTTTCATCAACAATGTTATCATGCCTACTGGTAAAAACGAGCAGTTTTACATGTGCGCGCTAACGGAACAACAAATTGGTGTTCCTTTCCACTGGAAAAGAGGATCATTGAAGCAAATTCAAATAATGGGATGCAGACCAACTCAGGGAAGGGAAAAATCACAAGAATCAAAAGAAATCAATCTCTAAATAGTTACCTGAAGGCTTCACATCGACTCCTGGCACCTTATCTGTCGTGGGTACTCTTGGCACCTCATGCATTATGAATGGTTTTGGCACATCCGGAGGACTGGCACAGCGAATGAGAGCCCAATTCACACTCTGAAAAAATGGATGCTGTTTAATTTCAGTAGCCCCACGTCTATATGCAAGGCGATGCTGTGGCTCTTTCACTAGTAAACCTCTGATCAAGTCCCTTGCAGCAAAACTCACTATAGGTGACTCAGGAAACCTTAAGGGTTGTCCAACTACATTAAACAAAGTGGCCCTGTTTCCTGTCCCTTTGAAAGGAGTCCTCCCAAACAGAAGCTCATAAAGGAAGATCCCAAACGTCCACCAATCTACGGCACTGCCATGACCTTCGCCTTTAATAATTTCAGGTGCCAAGTATTCATGCGTTCCCACGAAGGACATTGACCGAGCACTTGTAGGTTCAGCAATGAGCTCAGGGAGATGGCTCACATGATTATATATATCAGTCTTTGGTTTGGCCTTCTTTTCTTTCTTTGCCTTGCTGAAAAAGCGTGGTGCAAAACATGCAGGCTGAATGCAAGCTGGCTGGATTACACAAGATGGCTGAATACAAGCTGGCTGAACACAGAATGCTGTGTTCTTGGATTCCAAGCTAGAATTTGAGGATTTGACTAGGGTTGGGCACACTGCGCATCTTAGGGAGAGGTCAAAATCTGAAAGCATTATATGCCCATCTTCCCTCACTAAAACATTCTCTGGTTTAAGGTCTCTGTAAATGATCCCAAGCATGTGCAAATACTCCAAAGAAAGAAGAACTTCTGCCACATAAAACCTACACAGAAACTCAAGTAAATATGCTGAAATTAGCTAGCTCTTTAATCTAGCGTCCCCATTCTGATTTGAATAAATTGCATGATCGCCATCATCATTAATCAAAAAGGTAGCATAACTCAATGTATTTATACTTGTGAGTCGTTCCTTAGATTGTACGCTGGTCATGTGGCTAGAAAATGTACCAGTCATATATTAGTGTTGGAGTAACCTTTGGCTTTGCTTTACTTGTTCCATACAAAAGGTAATATATTGACTAGCGCTATCTTCTTCAGTTTCAATTGAAAATCAAGTCCCTCCAAGCCTCTATTCTTTTCATATCTAAACTAATCAACTTATCAAATTTTTAAAAAGTAGATTATTTGCCGTTATTAATTTCCTCAATCTCCCACATGCGTTCAATTTAATCTCTTGATTGTCCACCATCAATTTTTAGACCATATAAATAGCAACAACTTTATCACACAATAGACATTCTACATTGGAGCACACTAATTTTTCTTTACATGTGAACAACAAAGGGTTTAAAATTTACACAACAGGAACATTCATATCAGCGGAACGTACCAGTATGGTCAACAAAATCATATTGCACATACATGAGAGTTACAATCTACGAAATCAAATAATAGTACAATGATCTAGCAAGCACAAACGAAAAAGGCAGCAAATAATTGATGCATATTAGGCAACCCTACCTATATTAGAAACCACGGAGGAAAGAATGGAAAAGAATGAAAGAAGGTTCCTAACCTGGCAGCATGCTCTGGAAAATACTTCCCAGGTTGTCTTTGTCGGAGTGCATGGAGATCTCCTCCGGGGCAAAACTCCATCACCAAGCATGAAAACTTCTCAGTCTCAAAGTGTGTATACAAAGTGGGTAAAAAAGGATGATCCAGAGATTGCAAAATCTCTCTTTCGGTCTGAGCCCTCAGAAGTTTCTTCCTACTCTCTAAAGCGGCTTTATCCATGACTTTCATAGCAAAATAACTTCTTGTGCCAGTCAACTCTGATAGATAAACACAACCTATATCTCCACATCCCAATCTCGTCAAAAGCTTAAAGTGGTTCAACCCCAACAGACCATCCCGAGTTCTGATAGCCTGAATTGCTTCCCATCTTGTATCATTTGCCTTGTGAGGTTTGTACATAGCACTGCTTAAACTACAGGAGCTGCTCTCATCACTAATATCACTGCCAGTGCTACCTCTATATGTACTCGTCTTTCTGCTCTCTATTATATCACAGGAGTTGCCAACTTCAACACTTTCAGCAGACTTCTCGACACTGCTTGCACCCTCGCTGACTTCAGTGTTGGTGAAACTTTGTTTAGCTTCTGTGTACTGTGTAGCAGAGTAGAAACTATTTTGAGGACTTGGACAAAAACTGATTCCTGATTGAGAGGAAAATCGGCTGTTCAAAACCTCAGCAGTTCCTTTAGCTGGGTGTGTAACAAGATCCACAGATTCCAACAAACTGCTTGAACTACTATTCTCAGAATCATAAACTGGATGCTTAAGATATGATTTGATTTCCAATGTAGAAACCTGCTTGTGGGAAGAATATTGTGCCATTTGATCAAGAACATCATCGGGGCTCATCAATTCCTGTTTCTGATTGTTTGATTTGAGATGGTGTTTCGATGAGTTAGACACTCCTTCCTTCCATGTATGATCGTGAGATGTTTTTTGTGAATGCTTTGAACTAATCACAGAACCTGTTGGAGAGGAGGATGTTTTCATCCCATTATCTGTAGCACCTGCATTGGATGCAGATGAGGCCCCCTCATATCTAGGTTGTTTTAAAGACGGAGGATGAGGAGGTCGATTAGCCCCTAAACCAGGAGGAGGATTACAACCTACAGCAGGAGCTGAAATATGATCCTTGAGAGAGGAACTAACTCCATCCACAAGTGATTCCATCGCGAAATTTGACACATGCACTGTCACACCACAATCCAATTGAACACGGTGATTTCTAAGCTAAAGCACTAGCCTACAAGATAAGCATCCAACACAAAGATCTTTTAAATATTGACAAGAAGATCATTCCAAGCAATATCAACAAATTACCAAAATGGACTAAAGACATGTGTCTCAATTTCCCCAATAGCAAATCTTATCAACTTCCCAGAATCTACAGCATAAACCCATTGTAGATACGTAAATATCCCCAATAACATGAGGATAACGAAAATAACGATCAAACTAACGTGAAAGACAAAATTTTCAAACATTACAAAAGCAATCACATCTATGAAGTTCACAGCAATCACATGAAACCCTAAAAAAAAAATTCCATGTTACTTTTGCAATTGAAAACAGCATTCAGAGATTACATACGAAAAGAAAATGACCCAGGAAATAGAAAGAATCAAGGATCTACATAATTTCTCACTCAACGTTAAAAAATACATAGAATCCTGGAGTGTGGGAGATTGAATTAACTCCCCTTTCAAGATTTCTTGGTATTTTCCTACATTTTGTTGGCTACCAAATAGACAGTAAAGAAACAAATAAATAGACTCTTTGTTCACCTGATTACAGAACGCAAATGAGGAAGCAATCTTTCTTGAGCGATGGAACAAGTGAAAGTGAGAGGCCCCCCAATCAGAGAACTCAGATAAAGTGAAGATAACTTTTATTTGGAGAGCTTTTCGGTGTAGTTTTCCGAGTCTTTTTCAGATCGGATTGAAACAAGAAAGAGTCTGGGAGATTGGAGGAAAAACTAAGTAAAAATTCCACTGCCGATTATTCTGCTAAAATTCGTTGTTTAATGGGGGGTTGAATAATTACTTTTATTGAGAAGGGAACAAAAGAAAGTGCCTCTCTCTTAACTTCACAAGCAAAGCAAAAGCACAAAGCGAAAGCATATAGAAAGCCGTCTTTCTCTCTCACCTCTCACCTCTCACCTCTCACCTCTCACCTCTCTTCCTTCCTCACCTCTCTCTCTTGTTTTTGTGGCACATAGTAAAGGATCACACTTTCTTGTTTTTCCAAAAAAAAGTGTTAATTGCGCTGAGTCCAAAGTATGAGATTTATTTTATTTTTATTTTTAATATTTTAATTATATTATTTTAGTCTTTAAAATATTAAATAAATTTTTATATGGTTCATTAAATGGATAATATCAAAATTATTAACAATTTTTTATCATAAATTTTTTACGCGATACATAAATATAGGCAAAAAATAATTTGGATAACTCTTAACTAAAATTTAGATAATTCTTGACCAAAAATGTGTAATATGGATAGTTCTTGATAAAAATTTGAATGACGCATGATCAAAATTATATAATTTGGGTAGTTTTTTGACCAAAATTTAGGTAAAAATTTAATCAAGAGTAAAAATTTAATCAAGAGTCATCCAAATTATTTTTTTAGTCTTGTACTTTAAGGATTTTCGGTACAATTAAATTAACTCTTCCAAAAAAGAAACAAAATTAACTATATGGGTTAGTGGAGTGCTAGCTAGCTTGACCAGAGTAGGTCAAGAATCCACTCTTTTGAGATCATCATCTATATATTTACTTCTTATATGGAGAGATAATTTTACACAAAATTCGATATTAATTTGATAAATGAGAGGGATAACGTACCAGTGACCCACTAAAAGATACTACAATCTATTCCTAGATGGACAGCGTCGTATAAGTGCCGGAAGTTCATCAACCAAACTGAGGTCGCGTCGCTTCAAGCTTTTTGTTTGGTACTCAACGATCTCAACCCTTGGCGTACTTTTTGCGTAACTACCGATAGTGATGACTTACTTCACAGCTTTTGGAATTCTATAGCTCTTTCGAACAGCTTCGAAAGTTTGGTGATTCCAACCGGGGTTACCGGAAAAAAAAAAATTCGTTTTGAGTGCCCTGCAAATAATAATATTTGTTTGCCGAGGGAGATAGAGAGATTTCATTCGGGGCACTCTTAATTTTGATATTTGGAGCGCCCACTCTTAAAGTTTTTATCCTCTGGTACAAACTCACTTGGGAAAGTCAAGAACATCCAATATCCAATTGACACGCCCGGAGAATAAAGGGCATGTTTTGTTTTAGGATATATATTCTGGCCTGGCCCCATTTAGAACAATGCTAGGGATCCAAAATTGTATTCTAAATCAGGAAGGATTCTTGGATCGATGGGTCGTAATTGAATTGAGTTGATGAATATTTATCATTGTCCTAAATAAGATGTAAGCAAATAATAATGGACAAGGTTATCTCTATATCCCGCTTTTCTAGTCTCTCCATTTTTTATCTTGTGTCCAAAAGGTTTTATATTTCTTTTTTTAAAGAGTAGGTGTATATATGGAGCAATGTTAGAGATCTCATATGAGTAAAGATATTTGAATAAGTAATTTTTTTTATTTTTTTCCAAACAAGATTCATTCATTCAAATAATCACTTAATGTTTATGGGTGGTACTTCTTTTTATTACAGTGTGTTTAAAATTGTGTCAAATCCTCGATTATTTCCTTGAATTCAACGACAATCATAAATAGTATTTTGTTACTAGAACAATTGTCCTAAATATTTTCTTTGTGGAGGTGATAAGCTATAGTATGAAAAATCAATGTTCTTAATGGCCTTTTAAACTCATTTAACACAATAATAATATTTAAATTGGAATTAAATGACTAAAATTTTAGAATTCAAATACTTTAAATTTGTTATACAATTAATCTACTAATTAAGACTTGTTAAAGGGACAATTTTGCTTCAAAATGTGTTTCTTGAGAGCCCTTTGGTTTGTTCTTCAATACCCTAGTTGTCACGGTTTTACAAGCATCTAATGAGCATACAAATAATCCTTTTCAAGTAATATCTCAAGTTTCCATTGGTTTTTCCTCCGGTTATATTTATTTTTCAATTATATTTAATTATATATAAATCACTTGTTAAAATAGTATTGGTTATGTATTTTCCTTCCCCCCCCCCTCTTGTTTGGATTAGCTCCTTTCCTCCTAGCCTAATTCAATGTATATGTAAGTGTCTATATATACATTGATTCACATATTATTGCGTATACTATAGATCACTTATTTTATTCTTTTTTGATGATATAATTAATTTTAAAGACATAGTTAAATGTGTTGTTTAACAGTAATTTTTTTTTTTTTTTGGGCAATTGTCAAGGATGTTAGGCAAGTTTATACGTACATAAACTAATTCTCTTTTTGATCTAATCAAAGACAAATCGTTTATACTGAGACAAAGATATTTATGATTTAACCCTAAACAATTGTCAAGCTTAGTTTTTCTCTCTTCTTCTCCTGCATGGCCTAGCTACCTTACCCATGTGAGAAAGTAATTTTGTATTCTGAAGATATTTAATGGTCATTTTCAATAATAATTGTAGTAATAAAAGTAATCACATGGGATTAAGTAACCACAATCAATGTCATTAACTAGCATTTGCGAGAGCCGAGAGGTCTCACCCTCACATGCGTGCACGTGAACCAGCTCCGTGGCATGTGGACCGGCTGTCATCTTCGACGCATTATATTAAACATCATTATTAGCCTACGGCTACTTAGAGCTATAGTCTGTCTATAAACAAAATAAAGAATTAGGTGATCAAAATGCTATTTTGATAAAATTTATGCTCCGGTAAGGAAGATGAAAAGTATAAAATATATATATTTTTTTTTTCTTTGTGTTTGGTTGGATGAATGAAAAATAAAAGTGACTATTTTTTTTTGTTGACTAAAATTAGGGGTGACAATCGATTCGTATCGTATCAAATTTGTGTTGAGTTATTACAGAGTTTGTGTCTAATATTATGCTCCGTTTGGTACGATAAAAAAGTGGGGAGATGAAAAGTTAGAAGGATGAAAAGTTTGAGGGATAAATAATAGTCAAATCTAACTTAACTCATTTAACTAATTGTGTTGTGTCGAATTGCAAGTTGACCTGTTTATTTTTTTATCGAGTTCGAATCGTGTCATCGTGTTGAGTTGAAAATTTTCATCTTAGTTAAAATGAAAAAAATATTTGTTTAAAATTTAAAATTTAAAATTTTATTATTTTTATTTTTTTAAAATTTATTTTCAAAATTTTTAAATATATATATATATATATACAAATAAGATACATTTTAATATAAATAATTAATTTTTTATCTATTTTTTTTTCGATTTTGGTGAGTTGGAAGAAAAGTTAATTCATTCACTTTTTATCTTTCCTACTTTCGTTCTTTATCAAACATGATATTTTATTTATTCATTCAATTTTCCATCCTTCTAACTTTTTATCCTCTTATTTTCTTATTGTACCAAACGGAGCATTAGTGGGGGACGGAAACAAAATCAACCCTAATGCTCCGTTTGGTACGGTAAAAAAGTGGGAGGATAGAAAGTTGGAAGGATAAATAAAATATTATGTTTGGTAAAAAAAGAAAGTAGAAAGAATGAAAAAGTTAATGGATAATTTTGAGCGAAGTTATGTATATAATTTTGATCTCTCCACTCTAACAGAGAAATAACATTAATTGTGAATAATATTTATTTAAAAAAGTGAATTAAATGAACGTGAAAGTTTGAATTTTCAAGTATAACGAGAAAATATGAAATTAAAAAATGAAAAAAAAACCCAAAATAAATGTCTAAAAAAGCTCCAATCTTGGCAGGTTTTTTTTTTTTTTGGCACGTCTAATAATTATGGTTGGCCTATCAACTAAATTGCAATCATTTTCAGTGTGCAATTAACCCTATCATTATTCCTGTAAGCTCTGATACTACGAAGTATGAACCATCAGGGATTCACTTCCCCATTATTATTATTTTTTTTGGGATTTTGGGCAACCAGGTGCAGCAACAAATGAGAATTTAGATTGGATATGAGACCAGATGCTCAGTTTTTTCTCGTATAGTGGCTATGCTCCTAATTACGATCAGTGTGTCCAAATGCAGCTTGAATAAAAAAAGGTTTCTTTATGCTACTTCATAAACAAATAGCTTCACAATTACAAGACATTAGTACTGTTATAAGAGTGGAACTTATTTTGAAAGAAAGTATCAAGATTGTTCTAATAAATTTTCCAAATACAAATTCAAAATGTATCTTCCTGTGGACAAAACATCAAGTCTCTGCTCACTGGCTTCATACTTCCCCTTCCGGAGTTGGTAACGATGAGTTACAGCTGATATGGTATAAGTTTGGCCTTCAATTGTCACGCTCTCCCCACATTGCATGTTCTGCCACAGGAAAAGAACTTAAATGAGACCAACCATGGTGCAACACACATACGGTAGTTCAAATATTATGTTTAGCTCTTGATAATTTCCAAAACTGCGTAGGGTCAAGGCCTGCCAATCCAGTGAATGAATGGAGTTGCGTTGAAATCATGAGAGACGAGGCACTGCTGTTTTGTGCGGCATGCATGTGAAATAACAGGAAAGTTTCCATTCCTCATTCCCTGCTTTCACAATTCATTAAGAAAATGGCATCTGAATATCACACTTCTATTCAAATAAAGATATTGCTCAGAATTTAATACTGGTATCTATAACTTAAAGGGCGGCAAAGCCACAGAAAATCTAGAATCCTCTCTCTTAAGTTGCACAATCAACAGCAGTTGCTCGTGACTTCTGCGTGGGTGTGCGCATGTTATAGATAAGCAACTTACACCAAAAACACCTGGAACAACAACACAAGCACACATGACATATACAGTGAAACATGCCATAAAACCTAATTTAAAAAATGCTCCACCAATCGAGTAATGAAAATGGTAATAACATGCCACCAATCGAGTAATCGAAAAAGACTCCATAGAATGAGAATGGTAATAAGAAAAGGAACTAAAAAACATGAGTTAACTTCGACACTGATAAGTCATCTAAAGGATCTTCAAATTCTCTCCATCCACACGTGCCAGAAGACAATAACATATCTGCACTGCAATCATCCCCCTTGTGCTTATGTATCAAGCTACCATCCCATGACTGCAACAATTCAGCAGGCATCCTCTGCCACTCCAAGACCAAGCTGAATAGGGAAAAATAGAGTCTATAACTACTATGCCTCCTTAATAGTAGGTGATCAATCGTCTCCTTAGCTCTCTTGCTCAGAAAAATCACCCCTGGACAATAGAATTACCTGTACTCAAGATCCCTATGAGGAGCTGCCATACAAGGAGGGTTACCTTTGGGAGATCTTTTACGCTTCACATATTTTTTCAATTTTCATAGACACAACAAATGAGCACCTCCTACTATTTCTATCTCTAGTACGTTATTCAACTCTTTCTTGTAGTTAGATGTTCTCAGAAGGACCTAACAAAATACGTCTTCACTCTTGCCTAAGCCATACTTTATGGCAAATAGAGAATCTAATGCCTTCAGGTCTAAGTCCTGGATTGCCATCCTATAGAGGAAATTCCATAATACTTTTTCTTTCAGTGAGACAAGCGTCATCCGCCAAAAAGCCCTCCTTATTACATATTACCCTCAACAAATCAGGGATAAGTGCAGACATCCCCACACCGAGTATCAAGCAAAAAATTCACCCTTTCTCTCTTCATGTAACAGACTCAATATCCTTCAAAGACTCCTACTATCCATTTGGATACCAAACTAAAAGTTCAAGAGTAGAAGAGATCCCAACCAAGCCAGAAGACCAGTCTCCCCATTCAACTTCATATTTTTGCTCCACTAAATTCCATCCAAAACCGTATTTCTCCTCATTGCTAACTTCTGCGCACCTTCCCCGGCAAAGCTTGGTTAAACATCCAACTCTTCTTCCTTCGCCATCAAAAGAATAACATTCCAATTAAATACTTATTAACTGAACTTCCACTCTTGCTTCTCACAAAAAAGTCATCAAGGTATTCGGATGCAAAATATTGCTATCAAGCCCTTTAATAAGCATTTTTCTTAATATCAGCAGATTAACAATTCCACTATTCAAATCAGAAATGAACGAAAACCCATGTAGAGACAAGAAAAAAAAAAGGAAACAAAGTTTGGAGCTCCTTAGAGTTTCCAAAGGCTCAGAAGCTAACTTTGAGATACAAAATCCCAAGTCTCCCTAGATTTTTTTGGGAAAGCCTCCAACTTAATATAACACAGTCCAGATCTGTGATACATAGACTTGCTTATTCCAACTCAAACAAAGGGTTATAAACTAGTGTCCACTCATGTGAATAGGGATGTGTGAGGCATTAACTATGCTAGAGCCTCTGGAGGTGGCGCGAGTGAAGTGAAATTATAAGTAGCACAAAGCATCCAGCCCTTTCCTTCATTGTGATAATCAGAATGAAATTATCGAGCATATCTAGAAAGAAATCCACAAAGTATGTTTTTGTTGATGCTGCAGATTTAAACCATGGTACCATAGATAAATAAGCCCAGGTTAAGACTACTAATGGAAGGATGCTTTTGAATGTGAATTTTATCAACAATGCTACATCTTGGCCTTTACCAAATTTTGAATCACAAATCAAGTGAATTATAGGATCAATAGGTCTCACAATCTGTCACTAACTATGCAATGACTAGCAATGTGTCACATCATTTGGGATCCAATATTTGCCAAAAGTTTTCGTAAACACAACATTTCTCAAATTCTATTCAATTCTATACATCATCCTTTGGAAAAAGTTGAAACTGATAGTAAACGAGTAACCAAGCTGATTGTTTTCAGGGTAGAGGATGTATTCTCAGAAGTGGGAGAAGGGTAAGGCCAGACCGAGGAGGCTTTAACCATAGAATTATGGATGACACGGAGAAGCAATTTTTGACCACTCTCAATAGACTTTAAATTGAATATAGTCCTCATCAATCTTCACACTTTATTCTTATTTCTGCAACCCTCAAAAACACCAAAAAAAAATAAAAGTCCGGCCTCACTCCTCACAATAACAATTCTAAAAGGACTATGGTATGGTATCGTATGGCGTGGTAGGCATAAAACAGACAGCATCCACAACAAAAGAAGCCTTTTGACAACCAAGTTGGTCCATTACTCAATATAAAATTAATATGGTAAGATTCATGGTACTAATTCTTAGGTTTCCCTACGAATTCTAAGCAACCAAAGGAAGCACTATAAAAAGAATAAAGAAATAATTAAAAAAAAAAAAAAAGAAGTCAATTAAACGACGATGCTTACAGGGGGAAAACAGCGAATGCCGAGGTTCTTGGGCGGAGGCGTAATTTCGATCACCTTATAGGGATGGTCCTGACCTCGATATTTCTCTCTCTTTCTGCAGGAAATTTGGGGCACCTGTGACTGCTAAAAAATTGGAAAAATCACAAAACCTATAAAACTGCAGTTGGAATTATAGTCTTCCAATTGAATTTGAATTATACATACGAAAAGCTCCAGTAGGTGGAGCTCGCACCTTCCGGAATGCCGCAGAATGAGACACCATTGCCATCTCTCTTTCTCAACTAATGGTTGTTTCTCTATGTATCTCCAGACTGAAGTGAGCATAGCCAGAAAAATGAAAGAAAAGATCTAATGGTTTCTAAAGATTTTACATTTATTCACTTATTCATAGTTTCACCCCCAAGGACTTGTTTAAATTACAAATGACTCCTCTGCACAAATTGTTCGCATCATTTTTTTACAAATGATTCAGATAGAGGCATGTCAATGACCGGATATGGATTAACCGGAGATGTATTGATATTTTTATCGATAATTCGAATTCAATATTTTGTATTTTATGAATTTGAATGTAGATATACTTATATTCAATCGAAATTATTTATATATTTTTATATAAATATTAGAAAAAATTAGTGATTATTTAAAGAAATTTGGTTAAAAATTAAGATACAATTTGTTAAAATCTAGTTATTAAGTTGGTCTAGTCGGGTCGGGTCAAATTGTTAATAAATTCACGTATAAACTATGAAAATAAAATTCCTCAAATTATCAAATTAGACTTTTAAAATCTCATTCAGATTCGAATCGTTCAAATTCAATCCAAACCCAATTCGTTGACAATTCTTGCTTTGTCTCGATTTTAAATTATTATTTTTTCTAAAAACTAAGCACAAAATTGTTGTCTTTCATCTCTATTTTAAATTTATAACTCACATTAGTTGGAGCCTTTTTTTATTATTTTTATTTATACAGTAGGTACAATTTTATGTGTTTAAAAATTCAAACAATTATTAGACATTGTGATTGTTATATGTAAATGTGATCATGAAAACTTTCACGAGACCTTTCACCAAAAAAAAAAAAAAAAAGCTTCATGAGAAGGGAATAAAAGTATTTTGAGGCTCTAATCCTTTTCTTTTCTTTCCTGAAAATTTGAGAAGATCAAATAAACATATTCCTTCATCACACCAAACTTCTTAATGGGTACCCAAAAATAAATAATAAAATAAAATAAAATTGTAGGAAATATTTTTTTTTTCTCAAATCTGACTTTCGTGAATCATGTAACGACATAAATCTCGCACATTTAGTTCTTATTAATGTGCTCTTTCAGAACTTGCAATCCTCTTCTTTTTTTTCACTCTTTTCAGCTCTTACTTTTCAGGATCAAGTAATGACAGAAACCTCAGAGTTTATTTTCACTGTTAGGTCAGTGCTAAAGCAACTTACGAAATGGCCCGGTCAATGTTCTTTACCATTGCTCCTCTTATTAAGAGTATACTAGTACAGAAGCCTAATGCTTTTGAAATATGGGTCCTTTAATTGCTCTTAAACACATCCCCATAACATGAATTCATACCCTTCACCGTAGTGTTGTGTGTGTGACAAGACTGTAAGTGATTAAAATCAAAATAGAACTGTGGTTCTATTCCAATGGCAAAGTATCAATTGCGACGACGGCATATGAACCCCGGTCCTGACCAAAAATACAAAAACAACTCCTGTGGGAATCCTCTCTCCGACCACCATGTATTAGAATAATACATAGTCGAAAATATCTGTCCATGATATAGGTTTATGCATGGATACAATGATTCATCCCCAGCGCGTCAACAATTGACAAGTCAAAAGTGTAACAACCTAAATATCCCAAGTTTGATCCATTAAACCCCCCCAGGGTGGTTGTCCATCAAGAAAAAATACAGTCCAAATATCCTCACATGGTTAGCGCGTATGCATGTAGAGGGTAGCTATTCATTGGAAGTACCATGCAAAATTGACCAGTTTCACAGGGGCAGTTAACTCTGTCCGAATCATATCAGTTCATGCTTCATTCCCTGATCCGGAGAAAGAAAAATTCAAGCTGCAGTTGAATCAGAGACATTTGAAGAAGCTACCAAGATGTTGCACCACCCAAACTCTTACTAGGAAGATTTATGTCCATTAAGGGGATGAAATTCACACAATTGTGTCAAATCAATGCAAATTGTTCTCTCAAAATTTGTAGACAAATCCACAAATTAATTGCCAAAAAAAGCATTCTATAATATAAAACATGATAGACCTTAATAAGCTCATACGACGGTCTCAAATAAACTCATCCAACGACTACCAACATTCCTCTCAAAACCATGCCTAGTTAATAAACAAAACAAGGCAAAATAAAATAAAAATATGTTAGCAATCAGGTCCTGATATGAAAAACAGCATATATCATAGGGACTTAAGGGGATCTCTAGTGACTTCAGCATGTCTGGATAGGTCAGGTGTGCAAGTAAACTCCAGAAGGGAAACATCTTTACCAGCCAAATTACAAAAAGAGAAACAAGTCAAGCTGCAAACGATACAAATAAATGCATAAACACAATGTATGCGACCACATTCATTTGAACAAGAATCAGAAAATGAGAATATAGCCATCTGCAATTGTTTCTACAATTGAAGATAATCTTCAGCTCATCTAAATTAACACGTCAATTTGAACAGAACAATAATATTCCGTCTCTTCTTTGTAAAGCACAGATAATTGGGTTGACAACAAGCCGTGGATACAAAATCCCCTTTCTTCATAACAAATCAAAAGAAGTACCTGAAAGTGTAGGATTGCACATGAATAAAAGTGCTGGATGTGTAAAAGGAAGTCAAGCTTCCTTTGCTGCTCAACCCTGAAGACTCGTCCGCTTCAACACTCCTCTACCTTCCATAAGGATGATATCGACCACTCCTTCCACCCCCATAACCTCCTCTGCTGCCATAGAAAGATCCTCCACTGCTACCTCCATAGCCACCCCCAAGGCCAGCATCGTAGCTACCCCCATATCCACTGCCAACACCACCATATCCTCCATAGCCCTCACTAGGCTCACCATAACCAGCACCTAGGCCGTAACCTCTACCCAAGCCTCCACCATATCGGCCTGAAAATCCAAAAGAGGGTTCTCTATAACCTCCAAAACTACCACCACCATATCCCCCATACCCACCATACTCATTTCCACCATATCCCCCATAAGCACTGGCCCTACCTCCGTAGGCCCCACCGGACCTATTAGAACCAGAATCAAAGCCAGCACCACCGAATCCACCATAAGTATCTCCAAACCCCCTTCCATATGCAGCTTTTGGATTACTATGGCGTTTGGATGGTGGAGGTGGTTGGTTTGGTTTCTTTGGCTCAGCCTTCTTGATTTCCACCTACATGAAAAGAAAAAGGCAAACCAATTATATCACCAATCACCAATCACAATTTTTAAGACTTGTTTGGAAAAAAGAACAAGTGTATTTATGAAACAATTTTTGTATGAAAATAAAATTGCAACACGATATTACCAATCATAATTTTTAAGACTGATTTAGGGAAACAGCGAAGGCTATTTATTTAATCTTCCCAATGCTCCCATTGAACTAGTAATTCAAGAAAAATGCAACCAACTCAATTCACTAACATCTTATATCCTTTTGTACCCTTTTATATAAATTCTTCAGTTTGCGTGAAACAAACAAACCATTCCCCCACGAAGAGCTTTCTATTCTGGGCTAGATATGCTTCAATGGATAGAGCAACTGAAACAAGAAATAGAAGGGATTTGGTTCTCATTTCCATGGGTTGCCTATGCTTCAACGGCTATAGCAGCACATGTAGCAAAACAGCAGTGATTTTAACCACTTCTGATCTAGTTCTCTAATGCACCTAAGCCTACGGGATCTTAGGTTACAAGTAGGGCAATGAACAAAAGAGCCAACAGGTAGCAGCATAAAACTACAAATTGATGAAATCCATAATAAGATCAACATAGAAAAATAACCTGCTGAAAAAACACCAATGACATTTTAATATACCAACTGCATGAACAACATTAAAATTTTTGAATTAAAATAGGAACAAGTTACCTGCATTGTGGGCACCACTATAAGAGATGTTAAAACATATTCATTCAAAACCCCACATATTTTAAGTAATAACTAATACACTGCCAACCCACTGAAAACAACATGTTTAGAGAAAACACTAATCTTGACAACAAAAAATTGATCGAGACACATGGGAATCTTATGTATAAGCTTAAATTTCCAAGAGAGCTCCCAACTCGCCTGCGCTCCTCCAAATTCAAGCCTATTTCCAGTTGCCAAGAGATCATCAACAGATTGCTCCATATCAAATGTAACAAATGCAAAGCCACGAGAACGATTGGTGGAATGGTCCCGCATGATCTGATGGTCCTTGACCTCTCCATATTTGGAAAAGAAATCTTTCAACTCATCTGGACCATTCAATAAAACTAATCAGTGCCCCAAAAGTAGACATTCAACTTTTAAACAATCCATGTTCATATAAGAGAATAAGACATACTAATACAACACATTACCTTCGGTCACTGTTGTTGGAATACCACCCACAAAAATCTTCTTCGTCTTGAAATCTTTAGAGCCAATGGTTCCTCTTGGTATAGTCCGCTTGATTTCTACCTGAAAATTCCCAACCCACAAGAGCCACATATCCAAACTCATCAAATAAACATAAAACAATAAATTTAAGAATGGGAATCATTGAAATCCAAATGACTCTACTTGTTTATCATTAATAATATGTGTGTCCTCAATGACTTTATCAACAACTGATGAATCTGCATAAGTGATGAACCCAAATCCACGGGGTTGCCCAGTTGTCCGATCCTTCATTATAACAGAATCCGTAATTTCACCATATTTACCAAAATGCTTAACAAATTGTGCTGCAAAAAAACCATCATAGTTAGTACTCAACCTCATTAATCAAAAGAGAGGAAAAACATGAAGCATGTCACGTGAAAGCTACTAGCAAGAGACCATCAGAAGACGACTAAGGACTAACCGGGAGTTGTCTCTCTCGCCAAACCTCCAATAAATATCTTTCTGCATTACATGTTGAGTAGAATCAGAGCACATAAAACACATTGATGGATATTAAAAACCCCAACACCCTAGTAATGCTACTTGGACTTAATTTCTTGACTTAATCCACTGTTATAATGCATACACAGTCTGCTACTTAATAAGTATATTAGTTCAACTAATTATATTAGTAAATTAGATCCAAGCAACATTATCGCTAACACCCATACAGAGGAATCGGAAAAGCAATCGTCAAATAACTGCAATTTAGTAGCAGTAACCGGAACAAATAGGATCGTAATGTTTCAGCAGACTCTAAAATTCGATTTCTATTCCAACCTTTTTTATTTCAGCAAGCTGAGGGAGACAAGAGACAAGCATTTCCAGTCCCAACTTCTTTTCATATTTTGGGGACTGAAAAAAACAACACAAAACCTAAATTGCAATATAATCTATTTTCCTTTCCCACATTTTCTTGGAAGACAAACAGTGCATAGATAAAGAGTGTAATGAGTTACCCAGGGCTGGCTCCATCTCCTGTCTCAGGTTGGGGCTTATCGTCTTCAAAGTGATGTGAGTCTGTTCCAACGTCGTCAGTCTCTCCGTCAAAGGTGTTTATCATAGCATTAGAGTCGTCCATGAGCTATTTGGCTGGAGATCAGACGGAAGGAATAACGGCGACAAAGGGAGTGTGTTTCCGATTGGTGAGGGCTTCAAAGAAGATGGAGGACCGATTGCAAAACCCTTGAGCCCCAAATGTTGTTTTCTACGGTTGAAATTTGGTCGGCGTCCCCAAATATCAGAAACCCTAACACAATTAATCCACGCCGTCGATTATTGCAACTTGAGGATCGACCGCTCTGATCGCTTGAAAAAAATTAAAGGTCAATTGTATCGTTAATTAAACCCGTTTGATAACTAAAATTCAAATTCTCTTAATATGTTAAGTGTTTCTTAAAAATATGTTACAATACTTAGTAGATCTCTTACTTAATTCTGAAAGTTGAAAACGCTCAATAAAATTATTTTTAATAATATTTATAATATAACAATTATACCCCCAAATATTTTATAATTATATTAAAACTCTAATTAGTCCTATTTTCAACACTTTTAATCTATCTATCCTCCTTACCGATCTCTTCTTCTGAATTGTCTTTTTCTTCTTCTTTTTCCCTTGTCTTCTACAACAAAAATATACATAATAAATAATTACACGGAAGATATAGTTACACACACATACGCACACATTGTACACACACACACAGATATTAGTTATTTTTTTTTTGATAAGATTTTATTGTTAATTCATTGTATTATTCAAATGTTATTTATTTATTATTAGATGTTTGTTAAATATAGACTACAATATGATAATAGTGATTATGATTTATGTTATGACATATTTTATAAAAAAATTTCAATTAAAGTGTAGAAGGGTAAAAATGAAAATTAATTTATTTTTAGATATCAGCTCTTTGTAGTTATCAAATAATTTAGTTCAATTCACTAATTAAATTTCAATGATACAATACAATCAACAAATTCAACATTCAACTTTCAATTTTTAAATTTCAGTTTTCAATTTTATCAAACATCACCTCATACTAGAACTTATATAAAGCCGTTTCACGTGCCGGACTACATGGCTTGGTTTTTAGACTTGAGTACAATATATTGGTATGCTTTCACGCAATCATGTATATATAATATATATCAAACGATCAAGATATCTTATGAAGCACGGATATTTTGTTGAGGTTAACGTATTCGTATTGAATATCGTATCAGATATGATACTCGTCAGATACTCAAAAATACGTATCGAATATAACTTTTATGTATCCGATAATAATTAATTTTTTTTTATTTTTTATTCGGGCTGCTCGAGCGCATGACCCCCGCGACCAAAAATTACAACGCACAGTCTCCACAAGGAGATGTTAGGCTAGTGCCCCTCCAAGAGTGCAATGAGGTCACCAACCTAGGCCACAAGCCTTTTTGATCACCTATAGACCCCCGTTCATGCATGTAATAATAATTAAATATTAAAATATTTTACGAATATTTTTATAATAGAGCAACATATATAATTTTTTAGTTGAACTCTTAATATCTTTTTTCGAATTCACATATCATACAATAACATTAACAAAAATTTCATATTACTTTAAAGACATATGAGTTTTTTAAGTATTATCTACAATTACATGTCAAAAGAGTATAAAATAAAACTATTACATTATAATTTTAGCAAAAATAACTTCTAAATACTAAGTAAATATTAGTTTTGATTCCTTTAATTAATCACTTCACTTTGTGAATATACCACAGCGACACGATATATATTTTCTTGAAACTAAAAAAAATTACTAATTTTTCTTACTATATTTTAAAAAATATCAAAATATATAAGTGTTACGTTGGTGAAAAATAATAAAAATATGAAAAATATTTTATCTTACCGTACCTGTATCCTGTATTCGTATCCGTACTTCATAGAAGATATCTATCTAATAGTACAGTTAAGATTAAAAAGTAAAATCTTTATCTTAGAAAAATACAACAATAGTCAAAATTAATTCAATTTGTCTATGTTAATCTAATGATATAAAATTTATTTCAAATTTTATTTTTCTTGTTCAAAAATGTTATACTCTCTACACGACCTCTATTCTCAAATAATTCAATAAACACACTATTCAATGTCAAACAATCTCATTAATTCATATCTATCTCTGTATTCTATCTTTTTTTTATCCCTCTTTTTATTTTATCTCTATTTATTTTTATTTTAAATTATATAAATATAAAATAAAAAAAAATTCTTATTTAAAATATAAATACTACACAACTAATATTTGATTTTTAATATTTTAGAGTGGTTTACTCCTAGTTTCTTGTAATTTAGAATCAAAATTTGATTTTGGTACATAACTTCGATTAGCTTGAAAATAAAAACAATTCAAAACCAAAATAAACAAAAAAAATATTAAGTTTTGATATATTGACCATAACATTCTAAAACAATAATTATGTAAATGGGTTTGTGTTTGCAAACAATAATACATAGTTGGGCAAAGGATAACCCTTAGATGAATCGACAACGTATGACCACTAAATACGCCAGTAATAATATGCTCGCAGCTCCACCCAAAGAGAGGTTGTGGTGCAGCTCCTTGAGGCAATACTAGTACACAACACCCCAAAATTTTCGCAGCCAAATTGCCAGGTTCTAAGCTCTTGCTGTTACATGATACTACCTTTTGATGAGAGAGAGAGAGAGAGAGAGAGAGAGAGAGAGAGAGAGAGAGACTAATCTGTTGATGATACAGCCATTCAGATACAGTAAAAAAGAAGTGATACACCAAGAATTTAGAAAGTATGCTGAGGATTAAACCTCCTCCTTGCTTCTTGCTTGTAGTATGGAGTTTCATCAATGGTCCTCCTCACATAATCTATGAAAGGCTGAGGTGTCCGAGGAGATTGTTCATTTGAAACAGCAGGAATGCGACGATCAGGTGTGACAGGTGCTGGGGCACTTGGTGTGGCAGGGGGGAGAGATGGGAGAGACGGGCGAGATCTAACAGGTCTGTCCAGGAAACATATGAAGACCGCCAATGTCAATATCAATAGAGCTAAACCCCCAACTAGACCAGCCCATATAGTAACATTGGAAGTGGTGGTTGCTGGTGCTCGCTCCCCAGGAGCTCTCTCCCCAGGATCATAGTTAACATTGACTTCCACTCTCTGACCTGTGGCTGGGAGGGTGATGATCACCTTGTCTTTGAATCTCTCAGCTCTAAGCACTTTGACCTCATATTGTGCATGGCTTCCTATTCCGTCCTCTTCTTTATGTATGGGCCTGATAAGTAGCAAATCCCGGTCTTGCCAGTGGATTTCAATATCTGTATTCCCCACAATGGTTATGATACTCTTGTTAGAGTGGGGGGTAAGATTTACCTGCAATGAATTCTTGTCCATTTCCAACAGGGAAAAACCTCCAATAAAAAGGGCAGATGCAGATCCTGAAATATGGTTGGCTCCTCTCAGTGAAGCATTGATGGAAACTGATATATCCTGTCTCGTGTCTCCTGATTTGGGAATGGAGCGAACCAAATGCTCAGGAGAGTAGGGGAAAAAGAGGCAATATGAATTACCAGTGTCGAGATCCCTCCATGGCTTTGCATACCCGACAAAAGATGGTTCCACCCTACAGTCGTACACGACTCTACCATTTCCATCAGCTTCATACTTGTGGTCATAAGAATCATTGAAACCCACAGAGAAGCTATATCCTTTCAATGGGAAAGGAACATTCGTCAGTGTCTCTTTTGGAGCATGAACAGATACAATATTTCCCTTTAGTACAGTAACAGTGGTCTGCAGTTTCAAATTAGAACCATCGAAAATAACTTGAGCAGTACCTTCCCCAACAGCTTCAGCATTTCCAGATTGCGGGTCTACAGCTAAGACACTTGCATTGCCACTCAACCACTGACCTGACACATGATTATTTAAATCTTCTATACTGAAGTTAAGGCAACTTCCCAGGTGGAGGACTGGATTCTGAGGATACAATCGAGCACCAACTGAAATCATCATATAGTCTGACTTCTCTGAGTTACTGTCAAGTGCAATTCGCAAAAGAGCTCTACCTTGGCTTATTGCCTTGAGATGAATATACCCACTGTTATCGTGTGTACCATTAATAGAGAGAACATCAGGGAAGTTCGTCTCGGCATCAAAGAGACTAACGTTATAAGCCTCGTGGAAAGGGGTTCCTAGAATATCACAGTAGATTATTGGAAGATCAAGTTCAGCATCAACAGCAAGATTGATTATGTGAATTGGAAACATCTTGGTGGTTATTCTTATTTGAGACACCTCAGCAACCCTTACGCAGGATGCAACCTCAGTTCTTCCAGTTGACCTATCTTTTGCCTGAATGCATGCAATATTATTGCTACCCTTTGTTCTTATTTTGCTCCCATCAATAGCTATAGCATCATTCTTGGCTTCTTCAGTCTTTCGACCACATTCTCTCAATAAAGAATAAGCAATCGTTCCTTTATGACTCAGAGCATCCCCTTGGCTGTACAACTTTGAAGATGATGGCAAAAGATTCGAAGTGGTATAATGAGGAGGAAGGACCCAGGTCATCACTGCTCCAAGAGCAAGGGGAAGATCAGGGACCACCCACAAAGATATAGATGCACTGTACAACATTGACTGAGAAAATGAACCAGAAGAGATAAAATCACAGGAGAACGAAACAGAAACATCTGTCCTGCCAGCAGATCTTCCATATAACACTTGGATAAAACCAAGGTCTTGCTCATCTAAGTAGCCAGTAGATCTAAATTCTTTTGCAACAGCAAGTTCATCAGCAAGTAAGTGATCTGCCACTTGGAAACTCAGCACCTCCTCATCTTCTACAGTCCACTTGTAATTCTTGCAGAGCTCATAAAAGGAAAACAGATTTCCCTCAGACAAAGATGGATATATTGGCATCTCACGTCCAACAGCAAGCTGCTTGCTCTGTACGCTCAATATCACCGAGAAAGGGACCCCAACTGTTACTCGACCATACGCCTGACACATCATTATGTGCCCAGGGCCATAAACTGTGGCAACCAAAGTAGTGTTCCCTGGGGAAATTGCAGACAACAGTCCTGAAGATTTGTTCATTTTTGCACTCTCATCATCCATACTGGCATACTCAACATGTGCACCAATGGTAGGGCCTCCTCTCACAGTGAGCACATAAGATGCACCAGGTACAAGGAAAATGTCATTAGGATGTATGCTAGGTGGTTTATAGACTTCTACCTTAACTGGTTGACTCAATATTTCACGTCCAGACTGCTGTGTAGCGCTGACATAAAGAGTTGTAAAGCCAAGATGTCTAGCTTGGATGGTGAACGTTGAACCCTTCACATATCCATCAACAGGACTAAACAAATCATAATTGTCTGCCAGTTCAACTATATCATCCTCAATATGCACACGAGTACTCATATAAACAAGCTGAGAAGAGTCAAAAGTGCTACCATCACTTGCCCCAGCAGATATGTTAATAGATTGAACACTTCCTTCCATGAGGCTTATCTCTTTCGGTGAAGTAATCTTAATCCAATCTACATCTGCAACTTGGACCACAGAAGAAGCAGCAAGTGGAGGATCAAGCCCAATATCGTAAACTGTAACAAGAGCAACCCCCAACCCCTTAGGAGCCAGCACTAGCTGTGAGCACTGTAAGCCTGGCGGTGGTTGAATTATTTCTACAACTTGAGTATCATTCACCAGAGTGTTTAGAAAACAGCTACCCCCAGTAATTGAGAGATTCAACCTGACAACATGACTGAAAAATAGTAAATTAAACTCTGGAGTGACTCTTAGAGAAGACACAAGCTGTAAACGTATAGCATCTGTGAGAACATTCTCTGGAATTTCAAATGGTGTAGTAGAATGATGACTACTCGTGATGTCAGTGTATCCAGCGACAGTAGCACGAACGATGCACAGTCCCGAAGAATTTTGCAAGACCAGAAACCTCTCCCAACTGGATTTGGTAATATACAAATCATCCCAAAATGCCAACCCATCACAGTTGTTAAGTTCCCACCTCAAACAGAGAGAAGATGAGTTTCCAAAAGCTTTTCCAGAGTCGCTAATGCCTACTGCAGAAACTCGTATTGTATGTCCATTTGCCACCGTAACCGGAGATGCACGAATTCGCCCTAAACTGTGGTCAGCCTGAATGGCAGCCCAAATAACTTCAAGGGAATTCACAGCTTCATCAGCTATCAGCAAAATTGAGGAAGGAACGCTACATGTAAGTGACAATTCAACTTCTTCTACAGCTGGCAGAGGATGGTCACCTCCAACCAAGTTGCCGCGTTTAAAGACAAGTATAAAAGTTCCCGATTTTTGGCATAAAATTCTGTAAAGACTCCCATAGCTGGTAGACTGTTGATGGACAAGAATCCCAACTTTAAGAAGAGTATGCTCTTCATCTAAAGTTTCCACATCTTCAACGAAGTCAACACCTTCCCACCGTTCTGGTCCTCCACGAAGCATGACGTCTAAATGTGTGCCAGGAGCAAGATTCAAGGATTCCAAATTATCCAACTGATTATGAGCTTCAGCTTGAGCTAAATCGAACCAGTAACCACCATATTGGTTCCCATCATTTGCCTGATGCACGATGAGCGGTAAATATGCTGCAATAGGTGACGTTGCTTTTAAATCAATAGGTCCACTAAAAGAACGATCAAAGTGTTGATATTCTTTAGCCAGTGTTGCATGTAGCATGGTGCGACCGGAACCAGAAGCATATACATAGGTCCATGCACATGGAGGACCATGTAATGTATGGAGTCCATCAATTTCTTGCTTATCCAGGACAAATGATTCCCCAGTTGCATTGACAATTGCAAATGATTCGCCTCCAGTTTTCCACCTTACAGAGGAACTAAAAGCATCACATCTAAAGTAATATGCACCATCAGATGTTTTCAATGTAACAGAAGCCTGAAGAGGTGATCCAACAACAATCTCTACAGGAAAGTTTGGACGCATAACCATAGCAGAAGGGATAGAAACTTCAATCAACACCTCATCATAATTGAATGAATCAAAAATAGACACTGCCCTGATAGTAGCTTTCCCAGGTCTTTTTGCTTGAACAATCCCATAAGTAGACACAGATACAGTATCCAAGTCTGAAGAGAACCATTTATAGTCACTGGATGCCTTTGCACAGCCTCCTGTTGCCTTCAGCTCCACCTCCTGATATACAGCAGGGGCCCAAGGAAGGACAATGCTTCTAGATACATTGGTTCTTGTGTCCAAGCTGAACTTAACTTGATCGCAAACCATTACTTCTTGCTTAACACTGAGAATTTTCTTAGTTTCATCATCTCCTTCACTATAAGCTAAAGTTGCTGTCAGTCTTCCAAGTCCATATGAAGTTGCTTGCAGGATTCCGGAATTCCACCCGTGTCTGACAGCAATACTATCTGAAACTGGGAAAGTATTCCAATATTTAGACTTGCTGTCAACCAATTTAACATCATCACTCTCTGTGAGATAGATTTGTTGTGCCCAAGGACCTCGTGAGAATGCCTTTATTTGAATAAGATATTGTCGGCCAGAAACAACATACCAGCGAGACCCTGATGGAACAGGTTCTATTCCCTCAACAGGATCGCCCAAGGGAGAAAGAGGTAATACGTATAAATACAAAGCATCAGGCAGGACAACATGGAGAGATGACATTTGTCCGTGATCTGCGACCCTGGTGTCTTCCACAACAATAGTTGTAAACCCCAAGTTCAACGCATGAGCTTTACCCATCATTGTATCCACCTGAGAAACAGAAGAGTTCAAAACAGACCACCGGTGGAATGGAGATGGTAACGTTACTACTTGAGGGACGTTACCATGAATAACTTTAAGACTATAGTGGACAATGGCACCAATGAGGACAAAAACAGGTGAGGGAGGTTCAAGAGACATGGCTTCTGCTACAGTCAAAACAATCTTGTCTGCCATATGCTCCAATTGCGGCTCAAGCAAATGCACAGAAACAATCTCACGGCCAATGCCAGTTCCTTTTACCAAATACAGGTCTGAAAATACACCACCATCTTCCAGCCTTATTTGGATATCTAGATCACCACAAAATCCACCACAGTCACTCAGGGGAGAGTCCTTTAAAGGAACATGTACAAGGTGATGAGGCAATCCATCAGTTTCAGGCATTAGCTGCCACATGAATTGTAAGCCCACTAATGATGAAAACACGTTTTCTGCATTCAAACACAGCGAACACAATTACATGACCAAACCACACATTCACAAATACAAAACAATGAGAAAATTTGAACAAAGGTTTTCAACTACATAAGCATCCCCAAAGATTGAAAGAAAAAGGGACTAGATACGAAAAACGGATGAAAAAATCTATTCCATGGAGTGGGAAACAAAAATGCAAATTATTTAGGTGCCGTTTGATAACCTTGTGTTTTTGTTTTTTTCGTTTTTGTTTTCATTTTAGGATTAAAAAAAAACAAAAACGCGTTTGATGAATGTTTTTGTTTTTTTTTAACTGATCTATTTTGAAAACAAGGCTAAAATATGGAAATATCCAAAATGATGTTTTTGAAAACATCCCAAAAAAAACAAACGCGCGGTTCAAAACGTCCCATTTAACGAGATCTTGACTTCGATCCTCCTGAGCAACAAAAAGTGAATTTTCTTATTTTACTATAAAAAACCCCTTTCTCTTCACTTTTTTTTTTTTTTTTCAGATCTCTCAACCCCCTCTCTCTCTCGCCCTTATTTGATGGATTTTGCTAGGGCGTTGCAGGGTTAGGTTTCGGGGTGGTGGATTTTGGGGGTGGATTTCGGGTGGTGGTGGGTTTCAGTGATGAGTAGTGGATTTTGCTGGGGAGTTTCAGAGGTGGGTTTCGGTGGTGGGGTTGGGGTTGGATTAGGGGTGGGTTTCGGTGGTTGTGGTGGTGAGTTTCAGTAGTGGGGGTGGGCTATGGGTTTCGATGGTGGGTTGAGGGTGGGTTTCGGTGGCTATGGAGGTGGGTTTTGGTGGTAAGATGAGTTGTGGGTTTCAATGGGGGTGGGTGGGGTTGGTGGTGGTTTTGAGTAGTTGGTGGTTTGGGTGGTGAATTTTTGGTATAATACCAAACAAATTTTTTATTTTGGTTTTCATCATTTTTTTTAAATATAAATGACTACCAAACATGTTTTATATTTTTAATTTTTATCACAGAAAAAATAAAATTAGTTCTATTTTTTTTATATAAAAAAAACATAAAAACAAAAACATTACAAAACGCACCAATCTGATCCAGGTAATACTTTACACTCAAAATTTAGAGTATAAACCAACCCAAGTCTGTGTGTAGATTTCTAACATTTTCCCTCATTTACTCTTTCAAATTTCAATTGCTAACAAAAATGAAATAAACACCTCCCAGACTCTCATCTTTCCCACCTTGTCCCTATCATTGTGTTATCTTTCCCATGAGCCACTCATTGTCTTACCATCTCCCACCGAGTTTTTCACGCACAGCTTCAATCTTCACCCACATCATCAAATCTTCATATGTAAATCCTGTGAAATAGTACTTCCAACGACTCTTCCACTTTACATTGCATATTTGCATGCCTTAACTTATATGTCGCATGTTTTCCCTTCGCATGCATCACCTCTCACATCAAGAGGCCACTAACTTCCACATTATTCTCCTCTCAATGAATGACTGACCTAAAGGACCAAGAAACCAGTTATGTTTATGAATGTGTAACACCAGTAGGAAACCCATGATCAAATCAAGACACCCACGAGGATTTCCATAGGAAAACAAACATATTTGAGTAAAAATGGTAGAATAAACTTTTTTTTAGAATAAAAAATACATATACTTAAAGCAGACACAATGGATTACTGTCAAACAAGTAACATTAGCATAAAACCAAATAATTACATAGAAACTACAAGAATAAACAAGTTATGTTTATCAATGTGTAACACCAGCAGGAAACCTACGATCAAATCCAGACACCCATGAGGATTTCCACAGGAAAACAAACATACTTGAGTGACAACAGTAGACTATATTTCTTTAAGAATTAAGATTACATATACTAAAAGCAAACACAATGGATTACAATCAAACAATTAACACTAGCATAAAACCAAATAATTATGTAGAAACTCCAAGAATAAATCATAAATCTACTAACACGTCTCTAAATATAAGAGAGACAGAGAGAGAGACTATAACTATACATGTTATAATGAATCAGTACGACACCCCCCCCCCAAAAAAAAAATAATAATAATAATAATAAATAATAAACACTGGCGTGACTCGAAAAGTTTGAAATAAAAGAAAATGCCCAATCTTCAAATAAATATGTGCAAGATTAGCTTCCAGAAATACCTTCATTATCAAAGGCACGGACACGAAGAGTAGCCAGCCCGTCTAAGTCAAGTTTAATGGAGTTGTGAAATATCTGGATTCTGGAGAGGTTATCAATGTAAACTTTGCAACGAATTACCATTCCAGTTTGTACATCAGTAGCATAAACAGCAGTCTTCTTCCTACCATCATAGGGAGCAATCGATCTCAACCGTGCACTCGTCGAGCACTGACTACTGAAATTGTACTCCGGTAGAACAGACAAAATATCATGGTGATCCCATGACCTAACAACAAAATATAAGCTTTACATACCACCCTAAGTACAAATAAAAGGAAAAAAGAGAATTAACTAAAAAATAGCAGTAGAACGAAATTTCTGCAAAAGAAATATACCAGTGAAATCAGACAAATGACGAATGATACATCCCAACAAATTATAAAGAAACAGAATAAAGATTCATAAAAAAAGTATTCTGACATTCAAGACAACAAGAAGTCAAGAAACCATTCCTCCATCAACATCTTCAGACTTGTCCTATCACAATTCATAAGACATGTAAATTGTCAAGCAATTAGGGAACCATAATCTGATGTGTCAAGCAAGTCACACTTAATGGTGCCTGGTATGGATTCCCATTTTGTATTGTGTTATACATGTGTAGTATTTTCTTAACTGCAGATTTTTTTAAGATTTTGCGGTTTTGTGGTTTTTCCCTATGAAGTGTTGTTCTTGTAACTATATTTGAGTAGAAAAGTGTAGTGAATCTATAATCTCCATTCCTGCAGATGCAAGTTTAGATATGTCTTATAAGCATTGCAACTTGAAAGATTATGCAGTGTCAACCATGGAGACCAATGTGATGTCAGCTGAAAATTCCTTTATCCGCCTTCATTTAAGGGAAAAGCACTTGACTCCTAAACATTACCCATCTGAGTTGACTTGGTATTTCAAAGGCCTCGTAGAGTCAAAATGTAACTGTACCCGGAGAGAGAGGTTAACAACAGAATGTTGGTGAACAATCCCAGTAGCCCTCATATTCTTTTCATGCACACAGGGTAGCAAGTTGTTCGATCGTTATTCACATAAGGAATAAGCTTCCCAACCATTAGTTGAACATTTGAACAACCTCTTCTCAACAGAGCACATGAATAGTGATGCCAATACCAAAAGCAGAGGAAATGGGAGGTGTAAATCGGATACAAACCTAACTTTCAACATTATGTTCAAAAAGGGATTGCCATTATGTATGAACCAACAACCTTCGGGTTGAAAGCCCCCAAGCAATTTACCTCTGCACTAGAAAATGAACCCTCTCTGACATTAGAAAACATACAAGGAATCGGCAACTCTTCCACACTTCCAAATCCAATCAACAAATTTCCACTGAACTACAGAAAATTACATACTTCGTATATGGATATGAAACCAAAAATTTATGCAAGTGTCAAATTCAAAAACAGAGTCCAACATACCATCTGAAGCAACCGTCACTTCCCAGAAGCCTGTACTCTACTGCGTGAGTCATTTTGGGAGGCAACAATATATTTACATCCGCTATGTGCGGACCAGACACCGAAAGAGACTCCGTAGCCGTCATAAGTACAAGAAGAGCCTGAAACAGAGTCAGTGAAACCAAACGAAACATCTTCAAGTGCCAAAAAACGAAGACCGATCATCAGAACCCCCGTAGAGCTTCAGATTTTTCAGCAAATCAACTTCTAAGTATTGAGATGAACAGAAAAACAATTAAGTTTACGAGTGAGACAGAGTGTGATTTCGAGCTCTGTTAAACAGATCGAGAACAAGAAAATTGGGGGAACCCTAAAACTGGGGTTTTGTGAAGGGGTTTTGTGGGGGACATGTGAGTTGAGCTTTAAGATGGGGCACGTGGCGTGAACTTATTGGGGATACCTTGAGTTCTTGGCGGGCCCGACATGGGCCAGAGGTTTTTCTAGGATTAAAAACAAGAAACAACAAAATCTGAGGGCCGCGCCATGCTTACTTAAACGGTAACAAGCGCGTCGCGTCGACCATATTGAGAGTTAATTCAACTGCAAATTTCCAAAATATAAAGTTTGTTTGATTTGCGTTTTAAAAAATAATTTTAAAAATAATTTTTTTTAAAATTTTAAGAAAGTAATTTTGATATTTTTTAAAATAAAAAACTTATTTAGTTAGATTATTTCAAAAAAAAATCTATATAATAAAATAAAAGTGTGTTTGAATTTTATTTCAGTCATATTTTTTCCCTTAAAATCATCATCAATTACTTACATCACTTATCATCCCTTTATCAAACTCAAATGTCAAATCGCATCATTTATTTCTATCATATGTTTAATTATATATATATTTCTTCCCTAAAAATATCACATCACTTATTTTTATCATATATTTAATCATTTAATATTTGATTAATTTATAATTAATATATTTTGAAAAAAATTAATATAATGGGATCGATTTTTTAGACGCTCAAATTTTATATTTTATATGAATAGTTTTACAATACAGAAAATAGTAAAACTTATTTGAACAATCTAAATATATATTTGAAACAATAATTCAAACATTAATAAAAAAATATAAAAAAATTATTTTTAGATTGACAAATTCATAAAAAAAAATTGAATAAACTAAACTAATATATATATATATATATATATATATATTGTTCTCCTTATTTCCAAAATTTTTAAAAAAAACTCTGAATACAAGCTACACTTGTTTTCTGTTTTTTTTAACTCAAATCTCATTTTTTTCCCAAAATTTAGATAACAAAAATACTAAACAAACAGGTTTTTGATGTTTTTGAAATCTTGAGAACAAAAAACTGTTTCTAAGATGATAACCAAACATGACCTAAGATTTGTCTTATTTTAGTATTTGTCTTATTTTAGTCATTAATATTTTAATTATATTATTTTGATTTATGAAATATATAATATTTTATATAATAAAGTAGCTTACAATTCAAATTTCAAAAGATAAATAAAATGACTTTTGTCATTTACGGTTAAAATCGCTTTATATTTTATTTTAAAGTTAATCTAACGGCTAATATTAACATCCTAAATTTAATAGAAAAAAAATAGATCCTCCATGGTGTGTTTAGAATGACTTTTTAAAAGTACTTTTAGAAATTATTTATCATAAATGTTTTAAACACCACTACAGTCACTACCACCGCCACTGTCGCCACCACCCCTATCGCTGCCATCACCACCAGCCACCAGCCACACTCCCACCACCAACGTTAATGTCGCAGTCGCCACCACGATCGTTGTTGTCGTCACCACCACCACTACCATCATCACCGTCGTCGCCACCACCATTGCCACCATCATCGTCATCGCCACCACCACCACCGCCACCCTCACCAGCACCGCCACTGCTTCCACCGCCATCGTCACAACCGCGGCCACCCCATCACCATCGCCGTTGACGTCGCCGCCACCACAGTCATTGTTACTACAAACTGATGTTTAAATTTCTTTATCTTTTCTCTATATTTATAATTGGACTTTAGATATAAATACAAATATGTTTATTATTTATCATTTTTTATTACTCTGTACCTGAAGGCACAGACAATAAACTAGTCTATATAATAAAGTAGCTTATAATTCAAATCTCAAAATATAAATAAAATTTTTTTTGCTATTTGCAGTTGAGATTATTTTAAATTTTACTTTAAATTTAATCTAACAACTAATATTAACATTCTAAATTTAATAGAAAAAATTGGTCCTTAAGGGTGTGTTTGGAGTAACTTTGTAAAAATACTTATAGGAATTATTTCTCATAAGTATTTTTTTTTAAAAAATAGTATTTGAAACCGTCCTATCACTACCTTTACCACCCCCATCACAGCCATAACCGTCACTGGCACCACCATTGCAACCACTGTCGCCACTGCCACCACCACTACCATCGCCACCGCCACCACTACCGTTGTCATCGCCACCACTACCATTACCATCGCGGCCACCACCATCGTCGTTGTCGCCGCCACCACCACCGTCACCACGATCATTATCGCTCACCATAACCATCACTGTCTCCTACTACCACCACTGTTGTTCACCACCTCTCACCCCCACTACAAACCAATGCTTAAATTTATTTTTCCCTCCTCTATGTTTGTGATTTGATTTTGGATATGAATACAAATATGTTTATTGTTTACCATTTTTTATTACTCTGTGTCATCAAGTACAGACAATAACTAGTATATATAATAAAGTAAATTATAATTCAAATCTCAAAAGATAAACAAAATGACTTTTATTTTTTGTGATTCAGATTACTTTAAATTTTACTTTAAAGTTAATCTAACGATTAATATTAACACTCTAAATTTAATAGAAAAAAAAAGGTTTCTAATGGTGTGTTTGAAATGACTTTTTAAAAATACTTACAAAAATTATTTCTCATAATTACTTTGAAAAAATAGTGTTTGAAACTGTCGCTGCGGCCACCGCCACCACCATCGCCGTCGCTGTCACCATAGCCACCACGGTTATTGCCACCCACCACAACCATCACTGTCTCCTACCACCACCTCTCATCCACACTACAACCGATACTTAAATTCATTCATCTCTCTTCTATATTTTGTGATTTAATTTTAGATATGAATACAAATATGTTTATTGTTTATCATTTTTTATTATTTTGTACCTTTAGGCACAGACAATAACTAGTCTATATAATAAAGTAGCTTATAATTCAAATTTTACAAGATAAACAAAATAATTTTTATTTTTTGCGGTTCAGATCGCTTTAAATTTAATTTTAAAATTAATCTAACGACTAATATCAACACCCCAAATTTAATAAGAAAAAAGACATTTAAGGGTGTGCTTGAGACAATTTTTTAAAAGTACTTATACGAATTATTTCTCATAAGTATTTAAAAAAAAGTGTTTGAAATTGTCATACCACTACCTTTACCAGCACCGCCATCACCACTATCGTCGTTGTCACCGTCGTCGCCGCCACCATCGCTGCCACTATCGCCTTCGTCGTCACCACCACCACCGCTGCCGCAAACGCCTCCTCCACCACTATCATCGCCACCCACCATCACCGCCGCTACCGCTGCCATCACCACAACCATCATCGTCTCCTACCACCACCTCTGACACCCACTACAACTGATACTTATATTTATTTATCTCTCCTATATGTTTGTGATTTAATTTTGGATATAAATACAAATATGTTTATTATTTACCATTTTTATATTACTCTATGTCTTTAGGCACAGACAATAACTAGTGTTTCTATATAGTCCCTCATGCAAATAGTGTTCAGATTGCTAATAATTTGTTATCATAAACTTGTTGCATGATACTTAAATATGGATAAAAAAAATAATTTGAATAACTCTTGATCAAATTTCTACTCAAATTTTAGTTAAATATCTATTTAAATTACATAATTTTGATCATAAACTATCCAAATCTTGGTCAAAAATTGCTCATATTACACATTTTTTTGTTAAGAGCTACCCAAATTTGTTTAAAAATTATCAAAATTATTTTTTGTCTATATTTAGTTATTACGTGACAAGTTTTTGATAAAAAATCGTTAACAATGTGGACATTGTCTACTTGAAGTACCATATAAAAATATATTTAATACTTCAGATACCAAAATAATGCAATTGAAACATTAAATACCAAGATGAAACAAACCTCATACTTTGGAGATTTCTAATGCAATGAAGCCTCATATTTATGTCATGTTATTCGTCGAGATGTGTCTAAATTAATTTATACACCCAAGATCATTGAACTTTAAAACATAAAATAAAATCCCCTTGCCCCCATCCAACAAAAGCAAGGAAGAAAATAACTAGAAGTGGTAGGGAATCAAAAGACATCTTCCCAACTTATTTGTGTGATTGTTTTTGGAAGGGTTAATAATATTTTTGATTTATAAAATATGTATTTTTTATTAATTTAGTTTTTATTATACTAATTTTGTCTCTAAAATATTCAACATGTGTCACTTTAATTCTTAATCAGACAATCCGTCAAATTTTTTGACTGAACATTTTTTTAGTACGGTTTCATATGTCCAACACATGATCATTCCATCAAAAATTTAACGGTCCATCTATATTGGAATCAAAATAACACGAATTTAATACTTTAGAGACTATATTGATAAAATAAAGATTAAATTGACAAAAAATATATATTTTAAGAACAAAAAATATTTTTCAAACAAGGTTTTTATTGAAAGAATTGAATGAAACAAATATCTCTTTGGTGCCTAAAGTTCTTAATCTTGAGTATGTTGGGGATCTAAATTCTATAAGTTGTGCTAACTTTTCTTATAAAATTATTTCTAAATTGATGGCCGCTAGATTGAGGCCCTTTTATGCCTTATTTAATCTCACATAACCGAAATGCTTTTTATTAGGGGAAGACAAATACAATATAACATTATTGTAGCCCAAGAAATCTTACATTCTATGAGATTACGAAGGAAAACTAAGAAATACCAGATGGCTATTAAACTTAATATGACTAAGACTTATAATAGAGTAGAATGAGATAGTTTGAAGGGATTAATGGATAAAATGGGTTTTCATCCTAAATGAGTTAATATGGTTATGCAATGTATCACCACGGTGAAATATAATTTTCTTATTAATGGTGAAAATGCATTCTCTCATAACCCTAGTAGAGGTTTAAGATAAGGAGACCTCATCTCCCCCTATCTGTTCAATTTGGTCATTGAATCTTTATCCAGGTTGATTGAACAAGTTATGCAAGATGAAAAAGTAAAGGGCCTGCGGGTGAGAAAACATGCTCTTAAAATCTC